GATTGATGATCCTGGAGGGCTTTTCCAACCTCAGTGATCCCGTGGTTCTGTGATACAGGGCTGTGCAGGTTCTGTTCCCCGTTCCCCCACGTGGATCATCCCTGCCATCCACCCCTGTGGGTGATGCTGTCCCTGTCCTGCCAGGGGGCTCTGGGCCCTGTTCTCTGGCACTTTGCAGCACCCAGAAAATTCAGGGGGAAACGAGGTGGTCAGAGAGTCTGGGCTGAGGAGCAGTGCCTGCTGCCCTCAGGGACAGCAGGAGTGGCCTTGTCCAGGCTCAGCCACCCCAGGGTGTGGTGCCTTCCTGTTGCAGTGTATTATTCCAGGTAGGATTAAAACTTGGAAAGAAGCCCATTCCTACTGCAGTATTTGACTTGTGTTTCTCATGATGCCTTTTGATTTATTGTTCAGAGCATGTGGTTACTCTCCCTTCTTTCTTTCTGCTGCTGTTGAAGCTTTGATGGCTTTAAATAAAAACTGTGATGATCAGTGGGTACAGAAGTACCTTCAGAGTGTTTAGTGGACAGAGAAATCTGTTCTTCACCACAGAGCTGGTCTGGCTTTGCAGCTCCTGGTCCTCTGTGGCTGGGGAGTTCCCTGGTCTCTGCTACATCCCAAAGGAAGCAGAAGGAAAAGCAGGATCAAACTCACAGCTGTGGCTTAGCTCCTGTCAGGCAAATCCTGTTCTTGGCATGAGGAAATCTGCCCTTCCCAGTGACAGGCCAGGTTAGGAGTATGGAATGAGGAGAACTCATCAGTGGTTCATTGCCAGGGATCTTCTGATGGATATGGATTCACATCAGTGCATATGGACTCACAGCAACAGACATGGATCCACAGCAATGGCTTTGGATTCACAGCAGTATTTAAGAATATTTTACTTTACATGGAGAGTAAGAATATTGACTCACACTGTACAAACACATGTCCCTGTGCTGCAGGATATAAATCAATCTGAGGGAGGGGGAAAAAAATCAAGGACATAATGGTGCAGAATGGCTCTTTTGGAGCTACAGGTTTTGCAGCTCTGCTGTGGATTCACCAGGAGTAAACATGCCCTGTTTTACAAGGTTAAAGCCCCTCCCCTGTTGAGTAGCCTGTAATAATGTCATTTTTGCCTCTTTTTCCCTCTGGAAGCCCAGGACAAAGCTCAGTGTGAGTGGGAGCAGAGCACTTCCACAGTGGAGTGTATTCCTGGGGAGGGATGACTCAAACCAAGCTTTGTGATGCCTTCATTACATCCGAGGTGACCTAACCCTGGACTATCCCAAGGCTGAGGTTGACAAACAGGATTTAAATGTTGTAAAGACTCCTGGGCAGTGCCCACAACTGAGCTGGATTTTGCTGTGTCAGTAAGGAAGTGAAGGGACAGGTTTTTCTTGGGGTTTTTCCCTTTGCCTTGGTGCACCTGATGGGCAAAGGCAGGTTACTTCCCTGCTGAATTCTGCAGGTGCTGTAGGTGTAAAACCCGCTCAAAGAAATGAATAAACAGGTATTTTAAAGGGATTTTTTGGAATGTGCCTGGGGGAGGGAGGGGTTTCTCTTGGTTCCCTGTGCTTTCTTAGTGACCTGGATTTCCTTTCAGGGCTCAGCAGATTCGTACACGAGCAGACCCTCGGACTCTGATGTCTCCCTGGAAGAGGACAGGGAAGCAATCCGCCAGGAAAGGGAGCAGCAGGCAGCCATCCAGCTTGAGAGGGCCAAGGTGTGTCCTGTTCAGCTTCAACAGCTGAGTTCTGTGCCACTGATCCTTTCCCTGCTGCTAAAATTTATAACAGTGATGCTCTTCTAGAATAGTTGGGCAGTCGAGTCAAATGGGGAATATAGGAAAATATTCCCTATAAATGGGGGTGTTCTCCAGTGAGCTTGTGTGGAATCACTAGGGCTGAATTTTTCTGGCTTTAACAACGTGCTCTGCTGCATTTTTTGCAGTTTGGTACAGCTCTTGACTGAGGGGAGTTTGCAGTGCTTGTGTTGTGTTTCTCCCTGCAGTCCAAACCGGTAGCATTCGCTGTGAAGACCAACGTGAGCTACTGTGGAGCTCTGGATGAAGATGTCCCTGTGCCAAGCACTGCCATCTCCTTTGATGCCAAGGACTTCCTGCACATCAAAGAGGTAAAACCAGGAGCTAGGAAAAGGGAATCCTTGTTGGACTGAACAGTCAGGCTGAGCCAGAGTGGATTAACACATGCTCCAAGAGGTGAGAGGTCAGTGGAGGTCCAGCTCCCTGGGGTGGTTATCCTGCACTTTTGTAGCACTTGGTGTTACCAAATGGTTGGATTTTCATGGTGCAGGAAGGAAATAATTCCCTTCAGCCTGGTGGGTTCAGAGTCTTCCCATCAGAGGAAGTTTGTGGTGGATCAGAGATCGTGGAGCAGAAAGGGATCCCAGTGATCCCAGAGTGGAGCAGCACCAGGTCACACCAGGTCTTCATAAAGCACCAGATGGGCTCGTGAGGGAGAAAAGAAGACTTAGAATAACACATTAAGAAAACACTGAAGAGGACAGATACAAAAATAAGGGAAAAAAATGGGAATAAATGGGCCCTAAGTATGGCTTTGGTAGAGAAAATTGCATTTTATTGCATGCTGAGCATATTTTCTGCAATTTTTCATCTGAATTGAGCCCTCCAAATTTGCATAACCCCCTGTTGTGCTGTAGATTGGTACCCAGGCTTGCAGAAGCACTTCTTCATCTCTGCATTCTGGGGTTATTTTAGGGTGTTCAGTGCTCAGCTGCCTCTTTCTTCGAGCGTGTGCTCGTCATCACTTCAGAGCACTGAGCTCCCTCAGCCTGAGCCCACCTGCTCCTGCCCTTCCAGAGGCACACAGCGGGGCTGGAGCAGGGAATTGCTGTACAGAAGGACACAGGAGAGGCACTGGAATGCCCTGAGCTGGTTTTTGATCCTGGCTTTCCTTGGCCGGGGCCACGTTGGGTGTCAGGGCGCTGATTGAGTCGAACGTGCTAAGCCCTTATCGCTCTGCCCTGTACATCCTCCCAGACAAGAGTCCCAAATCCATGTCTTGGCATTCCCTGAGTTGTCCTCCGAGGTCTAAATACCCGGGATCACATTGTCACT